ATTTTGCTGAGTGTCTTAATCATGAAAGGGTGTTGGATTTAACAGATGCCTTTTCTGTATTACTTGCTAAGATCATATGGTTCTTGTTATTTGCTTTGTTAATGTGGTCAATTACATTGATTGTTTTCCTTATGTTGAACCATACTTTCATACCTCTTATCAATCCTACTTGGTCATGATGAATTATTTTTTTATGTGTTTTTGGATTCTATTAGCTAGGATTTTGTTAAGGATTTTTTTTTAATCTATGCTCATTAGAGACATTGGCCTGTAGTTTTCTTTTCTGATAATATCTTTGCCTGGTTTTGGTGTTAGGGTTGTGCTTGCTTCACAGAATGTCTCTGGGAGTGTTGCTTCATTTTCTCTTTTTAATTTTTTTTTAAATAATTTAAATAGACTTGGCGCTAAATCTTCTCTGAAACTTTGATAGTGTTCTCTGCCTGTCTGTGTCAATCTGGGTAGGGCATGCGTTTCATGAAATTTATACATTTACTCTAGGTTTTAAAATTTATCAGCGCCATAATATTCTGATATTATAGATTTAATTTCCTCTGGTTCTGCTGTGATGTCACCTTTATAATTAATTAATTAATGTCTTCTTTTCTCCTTTTGTTAAGTTTGCCAATGGTATATCAATTTTATTGACTTGAAAAACCAGCTCCTGGTTTTGTTGATGCTTTCAATTTTTTTTTGTTTGTTTTCTATCTTGTTGATTTCAGCTCTTGTTCTTGTAATTTCCTTTCGTCTTGAGGCAGTGGGGTTAGGCAATGAGATGAGGTATTGTTCTTTTTCTATTTGATGAAGCTGTTCAGTTAGATCATTAATTTTACTTCTTTTTTTCATTTTTTATGTGTGTGCCTATTGCTATAAACTGGCCCCTGAGGACTGCCTTAGCTACATCCCAGAGGTTTTGGTATGTTGTATATTCATTATATTTGTTTCTAGAACATTTTAAATTTCATTTGTTATTTCTTCTATAACCCAGTCATGCTCTAGCAGGGTGTTATTTAGCTGAGGAAGACCATTTCACCATTACATGCTTTCAGAATGTTCTTGGCTGGGAACACCTGAATGTGGGTGCATTGAACCACACCCTGCAGCCTCCAGTGGCCAGTGCTGCCAGGGTCAACAATTGCAAAGACCATCCCATTTTCAGCTCTTATCACCTCTTTAACAACAACAAATTAGACACCTCAACTGTGCCCTGGGACAGACACCAATGACAGCACTAGGAGACAGAAAGGCCAGCAGGCCTGAAGATAACCCTAGTAAAGATGCCAGTATGCCAAGCACGTGCTGGAGGGCTGTGGCTCAGCAGAAGGTCTCGGCTGTGTGGCTTTTATGTTTACAGGCAGTTCTGTTTCAGAAAAGCAAGGTCCACACAGGCTTCGCTGCGTTTCCTCGCTCATCTGCAGTGAACAATTTCACAGACCTTTATTTCCCTAATCCACCTTAGTCCAGCGGCTCTGCTGCAATCTCTTTGTCATCACAGTAATACTGAGGGACGAGTGTGTCCGGACATGAGGTACACTGGCTGGGATCAAATGCTGGTCACTCTTGCTGGGAGGTGAGAATTCTAGCACTGAGACACAAGTAGCCCCATAAATGAGTAGGTGATAAATGAGTAGGTGATAAATGAGTAGGGGGATAAGGTAGGGAAGAGATGCGTAGAAAGTATGTAGAGGATGTTGAGATTTTAGAGAAGAATGCCAAGGAGGACCTATTTTAAAAGCAGCATGAAGACCAGCCTGCAGGAAGTGTGTGTGTGTGTGTGTGTGTGTGTGTGTGTGTGTGTGGTGAGCCTCGTGAATCTGTGTAGAAGAGCACCCCTGACTGGAACTGCAGGGGACAAAGGCACTAACACGTGGTACACCTGGTTACTGTAGGGACGCCAGCCTAGAGTAATGGTGAGTGAGGAGGAGGCATGCTTGGAAGTAGGCTGGAGGTGACAGGGAGCCAGACCCACATACTCTCTCTTTCTCTCACACACACTCCGCTGCAGTGAGGGCTCATCAGAGAAGTGACAAGTCCTGTCTTGGGTTCTAACAGGGCCATTTTGCTGTTCTGTTGAAAAGACACTATAGGGACCAGGGCCAGAGCTGGGGCATGGGATGGGAGGCCATGGAAGCGAGCCAGGTGAGCGGCAGGCACTTGATCTGTTTGCTCTCCAGTTTACTCCTAGTACAGTGCCAGCCTTCCAGCACCGAGGAGGTACTCAGCAGTGTTTGTGGAATCATGCACAGTTTCACTCAGTCATTCACTCACCCATTGGGCTGCCCGGACAGAACTCATTCACTGCTGACCTTCCATTGAGTTTCCAAGGCTGTAGCTTGAATGAGAGGAGATGAACAGCCTATCTTTGTCTTGTGGAGTCAATGACGAAATCAAACTGATCAAACTGTGCATTTTTTCAAATTATTTTATTACTTTTTTCTGTGTGTACTGTCAAATAGAATCTGACTGGTACAGGAGGAGATTGCCCCTCCTTCTCCAGCAGAGCATCTGGTGGGTTTGAACCACATGCCTCTGGGATTGCAGTGCAGCTTCTTGCCACTAGAGCTCCCTCAAACTGTGCATTTTGAAGTAGATTTTGGTTTAGCAGCTCAATTCCCTACTGATGACACCACCAGAGTTCCCTCCTGAATGAATTGTTGTTTGTCATCGAGTTGAAATCAACTCAAAGCTGACCTTACAGAAGATTTTCAGAGCAGGGGAGAGACTGTTGATCTTCTTCCTTTGGAACAGCTGGTGGATTTGAACCACTTGCCTCTGGGTTGGCAACACAACTTCTTACCCGCTAGGCCACCAGAGCTCCCTATGAATTAGTGGTGTCCTGCACTAATGCCGGGTATCCTGATTGGATAGGTTTCTAGCACAACCACCCACTCTAAGGGGCAGGAGGCACCGTTGGCCTTTTGTGTTATTTAGGAGTGCATTTGGCTGCAAGGAAAAGAGACCTGACCAAGAATAGCTTAAACCAAGAGAGATTTATTTTTATTTACAAAAATCAGGGAGGAGGATGGATGCTGGCATTGGTTTGGCAATTCAGTCGACATCTGTGATTCTCTTGGCCTTTCCCAATGGTAGCAAGATGACTACTATGGCTCCAGGCGTCAGATCCTCACAATCAAGGCAGAAAGAAGAGAGGGGCATAAAGGTGTTGCTGTCCATATCTTACCCTTTGTCAGAAAAGCATAAGCTTCCCCAGAGGCCCCTGTAGACGTCCTCTTAAATGTCATTGGCCACATATGATCACATGATCACCCCACATGCAAAAGAAGCTGGGAAATCGAGAATCTGGATTTCTAGTCTCTCCTGCAGAAGGTGGCTGGAGAGGAGTTGGGACTGACCAATGGGGAATGAACCAAGGATGACAAGGAGCTCGGGGTCCCTTCTGCTTTAGGGCCTTCATCTCTACCCCCTGAAGGAGTGCCTCTGGAGACCCTCAGGTGAGGTCCCAGGCACCACCTGGAGAGTCTTCGTCCATCCTGGACACTCAATTTTGCCTCATGACTTAGCAACACATACACCCCCTGTGGATGACTTCTTCAGGGAAGTGGTAGTCTTTACGTAAGGAACATGCAGTTTTAGCATTACCCTCACCTGGCTGGCATTTAAAGCAGCTTTATCACATGCTCACCAAGACAGTGACACTAGAAGCCTTTTAGAACTTGACTTACACACATACACACACACACACACACATCCCACTTCTATATTTATACCTCTGCGCTGGTGCCTCCCATGAGAAAAGCACAGCTTACCCTGTCCCCCTCATCACCCTCTTTAGGGATAAGACTAGAGGACCCCTTCTTCCTTCAGGTCCCTGCTCTGGTTCTAAGGGTGACAGTGTCCCAGTGGGACTCCTGGTAGACTGGGAGGTGACAGGAGAGGCTTGTCACACTTTGCTGGCTGGTTTACAAAATCAGGGAAGGGCTTTGACTCCTCAGAGGAAAAGAAATAGGCCTGACTGATTCTCAAAGTCTTTAAAAATGGAGCAAAAGGTTAAAATATCCAGTCTCATCTGGGAAAGGAATTTTGAGGAAGAACAGAAGGATTCTGGTGTAGGAACTAGAAACCAAGGGGAGGGGAGGGCTGAGGCACAGGCTGGGGATGGGGGCGGGGGACGTGAAGTTGGTGATGGGTTTGTTGAAGCCACAGTTGCTACTTTCAGAAGCCCATCAGAAACCATTGCATATTCATTCTTTAAGAGGCTCTAGGAGTAGGTTTTAAAAATTCTTTTTGTTTTTGGCTAGGATTGTATCATGACAATGTGGTCACCCCATTAAGGAACACAGATTGGCAATAATAGGAACATTTCTGGTGAAAACACAATCACACCATCCTCACAATTTGCTCAGGAACGGGCTTTCAGGTCTGGGGTCCTTGGGGCCACAGAGGCGAGGTGGGACAGCATATGTCTGAGGGTGAGATGTTTAGGGTGGGTACGTTCAGGGGCATGGTTTCTCATAGTTACACCCCTCCTGGGCACCCCAGCCTTGCTTCTAAGTGAACTCTTCAAACCAGAAGCCTGGAGCATTACCTGGGAGCTTGCTACACACCCCGAACTACTCTCTGACTCCTGAGCCACAAGAATGTTCCAGATGCTCTAAACTTCTGGGAGGCGGAGTGGCGCAGCCCTGACCAGCTGGGGTGACAAGGAGGTTGCAGAGAACAGAAAATGAGAGCCCGGGGTGGGAAGGCCCAGGCAGCAAGATATCAGTCAGGAAGAAAAAAAAAAAATTACTGCCAGGCTTAGAGATCCCTTTAGGGAGAGGGGTGCCTCGCTGGATGTTTCCGGGGCAGCAGCATCTTGGAGCAGGAGCAGGGCAGGTGCAGAGGAGAAACCTAGGTGATGCGGGTCCCTGGCCTCTCAGGGAGGACCAGGCCCACTGGGTGATTCGTTTCTACAGGACAAGCGCAAATACTGAAGATGTCTCAGGGCCAGGGGGGCTGCGGGGTGCAGGAGGGCCACAGGCGAGTGTGGGCCCTGGCCGGCTCTACAGCACCCTCTCCTCACTTGTCAGAGTGGCAATCCGCCGCAGGTTTTCCCTGACTTTGATGAATTCAGGGGCGTGATCCTCCTCCTTTTCCGGTTGTTTTTCCAGCTGAAGGGGAGAGAAACAAAAGTGTGAAGTGGGTGGGACAGGGTTGTGTGGGGTTTCTTATCTCAAAAGCCATAGAGTTTAGAGAAAGGATTCTTTTCTCAATGAAAAAACAGCCAAGGTTTGCTTTGCTGCCAGTCCGGGGAGGCGGGGACAGTAGTGACCAAGTTCTTCCTGTGAGGCCAGTTCACATTGTTTACTTCACTAGATGGGACTCAGATCTCCCACCTCTTGCAAGGGAATGTCACTCCGCTGTCAGGGTAGCTGGGAGACGGATTCGGGATCAGCCTGCAGCACACTGGGCTGGTGAGGGAGCAGAGGTTCAGAGACGGGAAGCCACTTGCCCAAAACCACACAACAAAGTGAGTGGCAGAGTACAGACTGGGGCTGTGGTAGACCAGGACTCCTGCTGTCCAACCTCCTCCCTTCCTTTCAGCTGTGGCCACATGCAGAGTTCTTCCCTGGGCCAGGAGACAACCAGGGGGTCTTGCGGGAGACAGGCTGGGGGCTGGGACACCTCACACCCACCTGGTTCAGCCTCTGCTGCCGCCTCAGCAGCTCCTGCTCGAAGGGACACTGCAGCCGCTTGGCCTCCAGCTCCTCCTTTTTCTTCTTGATGAGCTGGTTCCGGCGGCGGTGCTCCAGGACCCGCTGCAGTTCTGGCTTGCTGTCCAGGCCCAGACCCCTGGAGTGGGAGTGGGCGCAGCTCTTGTCAGCAGATCCCCTTAATGTCCTCCTGCCCCCCAATCTTAGGGCTGCCTTGTAGTGACACCAACGCACACTGTTATCTCACACCACCATCCCAGCAACCATCACTTCCAGGGGAGAAGGAAGGTGCCCAGGCCTTATAGCACAGCTACTGAAGGCGCAGAGCAGGGACTTGAACCCGGGCCTGTCAGGCTGCTTTATTTCTGGTGATTTTTTTTTCTTCTTTAGAATAAATGTCTGGAGTGGGATTGCTGGGCTCAGCTCTTAAACTATTTTGGATACATTTCTCTATTTCCTTGCTAGAAAGGAACTGCTACCCAGTTCATACTCTCTCAAGCGATTATCAGATGACTGCTCCCTGCCACCAGCTAACTTGGCATATGTTAGGATCTCCTGGCAAGAAAGAAGAATATCTTGTTTGTACTTGTGTTTCTTTGATCATCACTCTCACAGAACAGCCTCTGGTAAAGTATTCATCATCCCTTCTCCTTTTGTGACCTAACTATGCTTTGCTTTATGGTTTTGGAGGGAATGACATATATCAATTCGTGTGTGTTTTGTCCACACAGGCTTTTTATTTTGATTTGACATTAAAAAGCACGACTCTAAAAGACAACCGGAGAAAATGCTGATGCTATACCGCTAGTGGAAAGGAAAGCAGAAACAGGATCTGAGATGGAAACTGCTGGAAGGTTTGTCACGCAGGTGAAAAGAATGAAAATTACAACCAGCTCCAATTCCAGAGTTAGCCAGCAGAGAGCGCTGCGGAGCACTGTCATCTTCATGCCAGCTCTTGTGGGCAGTGCCTAACCAGCCACTCTCCACGCCTCACCCTCCTCTAGAGGCATCCCTACCCTGCCACGGCTTACATGTCCCTCTATATGCTTCTTTCCCCCCTTCTTAAGATATTTTGATAGTTTGACTTAAATTACTGTTTTATTATATGTGTATGTATCCACAGTCAACACTCTCGGTAACAGCAGCCAGGAAATCAAGAGACGAATTGCAATGGGAAAGTCAGCTGTGAGTGACCTCTCAAGAGTACTGAAAAACAACGACGTCAGGCTGGACACTAAGGTGCACCTGATCCAGGCTATAGTCTTCGCAATTACTTGCTATGCATCAAAGAACTGGACAGTGAATAGGGATGATGGAAGGAGAATTGATGTCTTTGAGCTGTGGTGCTGGAGAAGAGTGTTGAATATACCATGGACTGCTTGGAGAACAAACAGGTTTGTCCTGGAGAAGGTGAAGCCAGAATGCCCCTTGGAGTCAAGGATTCTGAAGCTTTGTCTGACATACTTTGGGCATGTTGCAAGGAGGGACTGATCCTTGGAGAGGGACATCATGTTTGGCAGAGTGGAGGGACAGCAAAGGAGAGGAAGACCCTCGATGAGGTGGATTGATTCTGGGACTGGAGTGATAGGAATGCGTGTGTTTGAGATGGTGAGGTTGGCACAGGATAGAACGGCGTTTAGAGCTCTTGTACATAGGGTTGCTATGAGTCGCAAGCGACTCAATGGCACAAAACAACAACAACAACATGTATACATGTATGTATGTGTGGCCTTTGAGTTGTGATTTTGGAGACAAGTACTGAATATCCCATGCACTGCCAAGAGAACAAGTCTGTCTTGGAGAAAGTGTGACCAGGGTGCTCTTTGAAGCAAGGACAGTGGAGCTTTGTCTCACATATTTTGGGTATGTTGTTAGTCTTTGCAGAAGGACATCATATTGGAGGGTCAGCGTGGATGGGTTGACATGGTGACTGTAACAGTGAGCTCATGCACATTGGAGATGATGAGGCTGGCACAGGAGAAGGCCAGGTGCAGTAATGTTGTTCACAGGGCTGTTATGAATCGCAGTCAAATCAGTGTAGAACAACATATGCCTTCTGAGTCCACGTTTCTCAACAGACCCTCAGGGCATGCCCCTAGAGAAGCTGTCTCATTCCAAGTACTCACAGTCTACTTTTAGAATTGCACCCCTCTCCCCAAGTACTGGTCATACCTTATGTCTTTCAGTGGTCATGCCTCCCTCTCGGCCCCGCCTCACAGTCCACCTTGTGTACATACCTCCCAATCAGCACCCCAGAGACACGGAGATAAGTGTGCCTCCTGTCCATTCGCACACACTGTTCCGTCCTCTGGCGACTGGCCTCCCCCTGCCACCCCCTGTCCCCCTCCTGATCCCTACCTGACTGACTCATGCCACCTTCCAGCCTTAACTGAGGCATCACCCCACCCACGTGCCTCCCCTGGGGCCACAGTCCCATTTAGATGCCATCAAAGCATCTTTTAGTTATGGCTCTGTTCCCTCTATAAGGATAGGAGCTGGGCTCCACTTTTTCTTGCAATTCCCAGCCAGAACACAGGCACATAGTAGGTGTTCAGGTAGTGTACATGGAGGACAGGCATTAAGTAGGGGGTGGTGAGTGGGAGATGAGTGGGAGAGCATGCTTTCTGGGGCACTCTGTTCCCCAAAGGCCCCCTGAGGACTGGACCTCCAGTCTACACAACGGAGCACCCAAGCATCTTCAGCTACCAGGGCTGCCTTCTATTGAGGGGTGCCTCCTGGAACCCCAGCAGGGCTGAGGAGAGGCTGGCCAGGCGCCCCCCCGCCCCATTCCCCCGCCCAGGCTCAGGCTCCACCCACCTCCTATGGTTCATGAGCAGCTCTCGGTGCAGCTCCTGGTGGCTCCGGGACGCCTTCACCGGGTTCAGAAGCTTCTTGGGCTTGATGAGCTCAGGGTTCCACTCCCTGTACTCCGGCCGGGCCATCAGGCCCCCGATGTCCGCCCGCTCTCTCTGGATCTCCGAGTACATGGAGGCTGTGGTGACATGAAGGCAGAGGTGGGGTGGTCAGAGCTGGACTCAGAATGTCCTGCCTGTTCCTATGGGGCTCTGCTACCGACAGAATTCCTGAGCCTTGGTTTCCTCATCTGTAAAATGGAAACGAGAATTGAATCTATGTAACGATTGTGAATAATACTGTAAAATGTTTGGAGTGGCCTAGTGGATAAGGTGTAGTGCAGTGTCAACTCATAGGTAGGCAGTTCAAATCTACTAGCTGTCTGTGGGGAAAAGGTGGGCAGTCTATTCCTGGGCAGTTTCTGACTTCTGAAAACCAGTGGGAGGGTCAGTGATGAGCCGGTTCTGACTGGATGTGAATGAGTTGTTGTTTTGTTGTATAGAGGTAAAGTGATGCTAGATCACAGAATATGGGTTGATTTATGTATACAGTTTGAGTCTACTTTTTCAAATAAATATTTCCCTCTACGTATTGGAAACAGGCGTGGCATTCACTTCCTAAACAACTTTCCTCTGGAAACTCTATGAACCTTGATTAATATCAATAGTTGTAGAGGGGTTTCAGGCCTTTTGTTCATAGGGTTGCTATGAGTCGTGCTCGACTTGAAGGCAATCAACAACAACAACATACTAGAAAAGAATTAGAAGTGGAGTAAGGCAGTGGTTAAGTGCTGGGCTGATAATAGAAAAGTCAGTGGTTTGAATCCACCAATCATTTGACGGAATAGAAAGCTGTGACCATCTGCTTTCATAATAACTACAACCTAATTTACAGAAACTCTGTCCTATAAGGTCACTATGCTTTGCAGTCCACTTGAGGGCAATGGGTTTGGTTCTGAATACAAGAAATTATGTTCAAGTTTCAGTTTTAAAAATGAGCTTATTGAGAAAAAGAAGAACGATGTGGACTTGTTAAGGAAAATATGAATCAATGCAGTGATAAGGAGAAGGAATCCTTCTTTGTTATCTAGCTCTTCTATCCATAATTCCAATTCCCTCATTGAAGTCTCTGGCTTCTCCCCGATCAAAGAGACGAGAGTCTCTAATTACAAAAGGATGGTTGCCATCTTTCATGCAGATGTCTGGCTGCTTCTCAATGACCTCACTTCCGCCATAGCAGCTTGAAATCTGCCAAGTTTCCTGAAATTCAGGCAGAAATGTTCCTTCCTTTCCAAGCTGTCTCTAAATGCCCTTGAAATGCCCAATGAATAAGAACACTGTTGTTATTTTGGTCAGGTGCCATTGAATAAACTATGACTCATAATGGCCCGATGAACAGATCAGAACTTTGTCCCACAGCCCATGCTCAAGCCTGGTGTTGCAGGCACTGGGTTGATCCCTCACTGAGGGTCTTCCTCTTGTTCCCTGATCCTTTACCTTCTGCAGCATGATGTCTCTTTCTAAGGATGGGGCCCTCCTGACAATACACCCAAAGTATATGAGACAGTTCACCTTCCTGGCCTTTAAGGGACACCCTGGTCACACTTTCTCCAAGACAGATTTGTTTGTTCTTTTGGCGGTTCCTGGTATAGTCAATATTCTCTGCCAATACCACAATTCAAAGGCATCAATTGAGAAAGAGTAAGAGTGAGAGAAAAAGTCTTTTTGAAAGAAAGATAGTCTCAAGCAGGTAGATGCAATTTAGCGGCTTCTAGTAATTACCATGACAACACAGGCATTGGCTCTGGCCCTTTTTTGAGTCCAGCTTGCCTGAGGCTGAGTCCCTCCAATGCTTCAGGTCCTAGCAATGCCTGCAATGCACTGTTGTTGTTGTTATGTGCCATCGAGTTGCTTACGACTCATAGCGACACTATGTACAACAGCCCTAAACCCTGCTCTATCCTGTACCAATTGCACTGCCTCTGACACACCCATCCCAATTACCCCAGTCACTGAATCAATCCACCTCATAGAGGGTCATCCCCTCCTACACCGTCCCTCCACCCTCCCAAGCATGATGTCCCTCTCCAAGGACCTGTTCCTCCTTACAACATGCCCAAAGTATGTCAGATGAAGCCCCAGAATCCTTGCCTCCAAGGAGCAGCCTGGTTTAACCCTCTCCAGGATGAATCTGTTTGTTTTCTTAGCAGTCCATAGTACACTCAATACTCTTTTCCAGCACCACAGCTCAAAGGCATCAATTCTCCTTCTATCGTCCTTGGTCATTGTCTAACTCTCTGACGCATAACAAGTGATTGCAAAGACCACAGCCTGTATCAGACGCACCTTAGTCTCCAGAGTGCTTTGCACTAGGTACACAATAAATATTTGTTGTTAATTGATAATAGAGGCCTTGTGGTTTTACAGAAGAGGAAACCAAGACTATATAAATCTCCTCTTTGTTTTAGTTTTCTTTTTAGATGTAGGCATATTCTTATTTAGCAGCACCTGGAGGTTGCAAATGTTTAATATGCCCAGCAGCTAAGTGAAAGGTTAGACTTTCAAGTCCATTCAGAGGTATTTCAGAAGAAAGCCTTGTAAATTTACTTCCCCAAGCTCAGTAATTAAAAATCCTATGGAGTAGTCAGGGATCTCTCCTAAATACTGAAGAGCAATGATGTCAGTCTGAAGACTAAAGTGCGCCTGATTTCTAGTCATTTGCTATGTATCTGAGAGATAGACAACAGTTAAGGATGACAGAAGAATTATTGATGCCTTTGAGTTGTGGAGTTGGAGAAGAGTACTGAATATCCCATGGACTACCCAAAGAACAGTCAGGTATCGTTTGGAAAAGGTGCAGCCAGAGTTCTCCTTGGAGGCAAAGATGGAAGCTTCATCTCACACTCCGGGCATGTTGCTAGGAGAGGCTATCCAACAACAGCAACACGGAGCACAGTTCTATTCCAAAACACAAGGGGCTGTCACATGCTGGAATTGCCTCAATGTTGACTGAAGAACAAAGTCAAACGTGCTTTCCTTAGTTGATGAGATGGAGGTGTCTAGAAGACAATGAAGTAGAACACACTGATTAAAACTGGAGTGCCAAGATACTATTTTTGGTTTTGCTTTAATTTTTTTTACTGCTTGCTTTCATTACCAACTTGAAAAAAACCACACTGCAAGCCCCCAAAATGTAAACTCACTTGCTGTTGTGTCAGAACCCACTCATAGCTGACCCTTTACTGGATGTCTGAGACTGTGAATCTAATGGGAGGAGAATGGCCATCTTTCTCCAGAGGAACTGCAGGGGGATTTGAACTGGCAGAGAGGCATGTCCTTAGGGTGGGCAATGCAGCCCTTATACAAGAACCCACCTGAGCATTCATTACTAAGTCCTAGCAATTAATATTTTTTAAAGAAAATTTTTATTTTATACTGATTTACTTACAAAGTTTGTATACATCGTTTTTCACACGGATCTTTCCCATTTCCTTTACTCACCCATCCCATCACCCATCAAATGGTGAGACCCTATGATTACCCCTCTACCCATCCTCACCCTTCTGCTCCTCCCCTTTCCCCCTTAGATCCCCATACGTGTTTTACTAGTTATCTTTCTATTTCTACAATAATGGTTATATACAGTACTTGTCCTTATGGGACTAAGTTAGTTCACTTAATCGCAAGAACATGGAAACAGCCCCAACGTCCAACTACAAGAAAATGGATTGAGACATTAAAGTCCTATAAATTCTTTTTTATTTTATTAGAGTGTGTGTGTGTGTGTGTGTGTGTGTGTGTGCGCGCGCGCGCTGTCAAATTGTATCTGACTGGTACAGGAGGCTCTTGCCCCTCTTTCTCCAGCAGAGAATCTGGTGGATTCGAACCACATACCTCTGCGACTGCAGTGCAGCTCCTTGCCACTAGGCTACCAGGGCTTCCTTAGTCCTATCAATTCTTATCTGAGTAATTCTCAGCTACACTCTTCTTTCCTTTAACCTCAGCTCTCATCCTAGCCAGGCCATCATCACCTCACATTTAAAGAACTGTCACAGCTCCTTGCCTATTCACCCCATCACAGATTTCTTTATGCTCCCAACCCATCCTTCCAGAGCGACACAGTTTTCACAAGTCATACAGTCTTTGAATAAATTCCATATGGTAGTAGATGCAAGGATTCCTGGTGGTAGCAGGTCGAGAACTGGGCTGCTAAACTGGTTCTGCACTGCTAGCTGCTCCATGGAGAGATAGACGTGGCAGTCTGCTTCAGTAAGACATAAGATTAAAGGCTTTGGAAAGCCCCTGGGCAGCTCTCTGTGCTACAGGGCACTATGAGACAGACTGACTTGATGGCAGAGGCTGTGTGGTTCAGTGGTAGCACTTGGCTGGTAACCAGAAGTCAGACCCTCGCCCACCAGCAGCTGTGCAGGAGAAAGATGTGATACTCTGCTTCTGTAAGGACCCACAGCCATGGAAAGACTTTGGGGGCAGGATGACTATGTCCTGCAGGGCTGCTGTGAGTCAGAATCAATTTGATGACAAGAGAGTTTTGGTGACAGACTCTGGGTACTTGGAGGTAAACGAAACACGCTGGGCTCCCTCCCTCCCAGCCTTGATACTTGACTAGCGAGGCCGACCAGGAACAGGCACACAAACCCATCAAAACAAGCAGTTACAAATGGTGACAAATGTTAGGAAGGAAGCAAGTGGGTGGTGGCAGAGCAGAGCAGGAGGCGCCACCATCAGCAAGCTAGGGGCGGGGAGATGGCTCTCCGTGGAGGTGACATTTAATGTAAGATCTGACAGTGGAGAAGGAGCAGAAGGGAAGCTGTGGAGGGCAGAGGAACAGCACGCATGACTCATGCACTTTGAACAAGCTTGGTCTGTTCAGGGGACACAGAAGCACAGTGTGGCCGGAGGAGTGTGAGCCACAGGAAGAGGATTTGGAGTGGCAGGGATGGTGGGACGGGTTTAAGCCCAGAGGGAGATGCTTTATGAGTTGAGATATATATATAAAACGTATGGGTTCACGTATTGTGATTTGATTTTGAAAAGGTCATTAGAGCAGCTCTGTGGAGGAAAAACTATCAGCAGGTTTGAGGGCACTCTTTATGTGGCTTTAGTTCCTTCTACTTCACCG